GAGGGCTTCAGTGGGAGAAATTCCCTTCCCTAGCTTGGATAAACTCTGAAAGTCCTTTTCTTTGGAGAGTAGGTCTTTGTTATGAAGAAGGCTCTGGGTATATTTCACAGTGATTACTCTTTTCCTTTTCCTACCAGTGCTGTGCAGGGACATTTCTTGGGTTTTCAGCCTAACTGTGGTGGGGCTTCTAGAGGTAAAGCCCATGAAATCATGCAAGTGTAGGAGCCCTACTAAGACTGTAGTCCCCAGGAGCTTCTCCCTCTCAAGTTAGTCCACAGTCAGCATCCAACAATCCATCATAATTGCCATTACACGTTCCTACCAGTTTATAGCTCTAGCAGCTTCTGTTCCTGGCAAACAGATCTTGGCTGTGTCTCTTTGGATGAGTCTGTCTCATTAGATTTCAGAGTGGCATTTTGTCCTACAATTTTACTTTTCAGATGTGTCCAAAGTTGATTTTTAGTTTATCCAGACTTTCCTTGTTCTAAGGACAGAAGTGATATAGACAGATAGGTAGATAGATATAGATATAGATATATATAGTGATATATATAGTGATATATATATATATAAATAAAGAGAGAGAGAGACAGAGACAGAGAGAGACAGAGAGAGAGAGACAAAGAGAGAGATCACTTTTTCTCTGTTATACCAAGAAAGTTCTAGTATCTTAACCTAATTTAATGAAGGCCATTGTTGAGTTTGGTTTCGGTCAACCAGCTCAGCAAACTCTTAGAGCCACTGAATTTGGAATCTTTGGTGCTACTAGCATATCAATAATTTCAGTATTATTTTCCTTTTTCCTTGGTCTAGAACCCACTCCTACATAGAAGTCTTCCAGTACTGATATACATTAGCAATATCTTGTAATTTTTCCCTTGTGTAAGCTTCTCCTCTGGTGTCAGATGTCTTATTCATCTTCCCAGTGTATGCTGAGATCAGAGTCTTGTTGTGGATCTAGAGGTAAAGAATTATTGACATACCTTTGCAAGGTTAATGCTTTTGTGAAACCATTACAGAATGTTCAAGCAAGGGATGATCAGCATGTCAGGGTATGAGGAATAGCTTCAGCTGGCAGGGGGACTCAGTGAAAGTTGGGGGGTTCAAGATAGTCAAATTCAATCCAAACTACCAAAATCTCCCTGCTCAAAGTTAACACTTAATGTTTAATTAAACCAAAACTTTCACATGTGAGACCTAATAAGGTGTGAATTCAACTTGTATGATCATTGGGCAATTCACAGGATCAAACATTGGGTCTGATTTATAAATACCTTGCAGCTAAAGAAGTTAAGGATTCTTTTAGAGTGGTGAAGCCCTCTAGTTCTCTGAACTGTCATTTTATCTCGTAAATTCTCCAGTGCATCCGGAAGCCACCAGCCTTCCCAATAGTCCTTGTAAGCATCATTCCCACCACAGCGGTCCAACCCAGCAACTAGCTGATCTTGCAAAGACTTGCCTTCAACAGGCACTTAATCCCCCATTGATAACTTAAGCAACTGTTTCTATTTCATGCCTAAGACTATAATGATCTCATTTTCCACTAGTAATAACGTCGAACTTCCACTAGTGTTTACTTCAAATAGAACCAGGTTGGATAGCTAATCCCAGATTCCTATTTTGGGGGGTCAGTTTCCTAAAGCTACTTTTGGCCTCAGTTACAGTCTGTTAAGGTTTATTTAGAAAACCTGGAGTACTCAAGCAGAGGAGGATTAAAATACCAGGAATAGGTGCATATAAAACCATTGGAAGGACTGGAAGAGCAAAAAATAGAGTAGACCATCCGTATCTTCAGGTAAACCACTGAAACTCTAGTCCAGAACAGTGAGAAATTCCTGCAGCTTCCGATGTTGGAAAACCAAAGGACATTTTTATAGAGGGACACAGCTGTGCTGTGGGTGGCTGGTAGGGAAGCACTTGTGTTTGCTGCCACTCATGCATTTTTCTGCTGCTGTCAGAGAAATAAGAAAATGGTGTCTTTTGGGGCGCCTGGGTGGCGCAGTCGGTTAAGCGTCCGACTTCAGCCAGGTCACGATCTCGCGGTCTGTGAGTTCGAGCCCCGCGTCGGGCTCTGGGCTGATGGCTCAGAGCCTGGAGCCTGTTTCCGATTCTGTGTCTCCCTCTCTCTCTGCCCCTCCCCCGTTCATGCTCTGTCTCTCTCTGTCCCAAAAATAAATAAACGTTGAAAAAAAAAATTTAAAAAAAGAAAATGGTGTCTTTTATTCTATTTTCCAGTTCTCACACAAGTGTATCTTGTTGACAGAAGATTAATAACATCCAGAACCCTAGAGCTGAAGGAATCTGGGAGATACAGTTCTCTGGCTTCCAGTCCCTGTGATACAGAGTGCATAAACAGGAATAGGGATAAATGCCTCTCTGCCTCATCACATCTTACACTGAGGGTATCTCTCAACTTTTATGCAGGCTATAATTTCAATTCCAAATGGATGAAAGACTATTTAAAGACACTCAACCAGCCCTTCTAGCTCACTAGCTGCCCCTGCCTGCCATACACACACATTTTGCTTACTGTTTGCTTACTGTTTTTGTCTTATACTTTCCTGCCTCTCTGCCTAGTCTATGTGCCTATCAGCTACAGAAACCAGAATGGGCGCGCATAGGATAGTTGAAGGAGGAAGTTAAGAGGAGGAAAAAAAAAAAACAGGTTTTACTCACCTGTAGTCTAAGTAATGTTCTGATGGCATCTGTCCTCTCTTCCTCATATTAGGACAATAATAATTTTGAAAGTTAATTTTTTAAAAGATTTTATTTTTTAATTTTTTTTAAATTTATTATTTTTAGAGAGAGTGTGAGCAGGGGAGGGGAAGAGAGAGGGAGAGAGAGAATCCCAAGCAGGACCCATGCTGTCAGCACAAGTCAGTCTCACCAATGGCAAGATCACGACCTGAGCTGAAACCAAGTGTCAGATGCTCAACTGACTCAGCCACCCAGGCGCCCCAAAGGTTTTATTTTATTTTTTTTATTAGAAAAAAAATTTTTAATTATTTATTTTTGAGAGACAGAGAAAGCAGAGTGTGAACAGGGGCGGGAGGGGCAGAGAGAGGGAGACACAGAACTCCAAGCAGGCTCCAAGCTCTGAGCTGTCAGCACAGAGCCTGTCGCAGGGCTGAACTCACAAACCGTGAGATCATGACATGAGCCAAAATCGGAGGCTCAACCAACTGAGCCACCCAGGTGCCCCAAAGGTTTTATTTTTAAGTCACCTTTTCACCCAATGTGGGGCTCGAACTCAGAACCCCGAGATCAAGCGTCACATGTTCTATCCAGCCAGGTGCCCCAAAAGTTTATTTTTGATAAAAATCTTAAGAGACAGCTGGAGAGCTTAGAGTTACAAAATTTTCCAAGTAAGATGATAGTGCATAATATATACCTCAATATCTTTTGTATTTACCCCCTCCCCACACACATATGGAGAAAAGGTGTGGGGGAGGGAGAGAGAAGTAGTTCAAGTCTACTATTAGGGCAATTCTTTCAACAGTATAATCTCTTTTTAAATCCCACCAAGCTATGTGAGATGAGGACACTGAATGAAGCTAAGAGGTTGCGTAATTTGCCCACAATACAACTATAAAAGACCACAACTATTTTTTTATTTTAAAAACTTTTTTTAATGTTTATTTACTTATTTTTCAGAGAGAGAGCGCACGCGAGCAGGGGAGGGACAGAGAGTGGGAGACAGAATCCCAAGCAGGTTCTGGCAGTCAGTACAGACGGAGCTGGAACCCACCAACCCTGAGATCATGACCTGAGCAAAAACCAAGCGTCGGATGCGTAACCGACTGAGCCACCCAGGCGCCCCCAAAGACGACAACTGCTAAAAAAAAAAAAAAA